TGGCTTCTCTGTCCTCCATTTTTAGTGCAGGGCACCGGCATGCATATGGCTATCCTTTGCCACTTTGTCACCGTCCCCTTCAAGTGTGGGACACATGTTTAGGGCAGGTTGATGGTGTCTTTGGATGTCTTTAGTATCTGCAGCCCTCTGGTGCTGCCAGGGATTCTGAAGGAGCAGGAGGACAGGGCCAGGAGGCTGCCGACTTCTAAAGTCAGGTCCATTCTTGGCGCTGCAGAAGGCTGGGGACCGGCCAGTCCTCTGGAACCCCATGGGACCGAAGTCCTGCCAAGGGCACAAGATGGTTTTGGTTGCTGGGAGAAATGCTGTCTTTGGGGAAAGTGCTTAAAGGTTGGACCCAGCACTCCACTGGCAGTATTCCAGACCTTCCATGGTCTTCAGAGATGGCCACCACCAGGTCCAGCCTCTTCCAGCCCTGTACTGATCCCCCACTGTCCGAGTAGACTGGTTTCCTGGTGGAATCAGGGCGAGGAGGCAGGCCATGGCCTTGAACCTGAGGGCTAAGGCTTCAGTCACAGGGAATCCAAGCCATAGACCTGGCTGGTGGTAACCTGGACCTGGGGTAGATACTCCCCGGGGATAGGGGCCACCTGAGACAGACCCCTACCAATGGGAGTCGGGGTCCAGCAGGGTCAGGTCCACTCAGTGTTTTGAGTAAAGAGATTTACTCTCCTAGAAACCAAGGGACTCACCATGAATAACGATACCCCTGGGCTCAGATGGTGAGGAAGTGTCTGGATCCTCAGGATAGACTCTTAGGAAGAAGGGTGTGGCCCATGCTCTCCGCTGCAGCTTGTGATAGGAAGGAGTGCCCACCTCCTTCCCCATCCCCCCCTCAAGCCTCCTAGAGAAACAGAGAGAGAGACAGCACTGGCTGTGGGCCCCTGAGGAGCCTCCTGAAGTGGAGAGGGTGGAGCTGAGGGTAGCCAGCGATGGCCACCAGGGGATGGCAGAGTGTGGCTTTTCTTTGTCACTCCCTGTGTCAACCTGAGTCCCTCCAGTTGTACACTGGGCCACAGGCTTCCCAGCAGGCCAGGGGGAAGGTTGGCGCATCTCTCATGCCAGCAGGCAGGCAGCTGTGTCCATTCAGCAGGGACCCAAAGCCATGGGGGCAAGACGAAAGCCAGACCAAGTTCAGTTCACCATCCAGTGTGCAGTGACCCCAGCCGTGCTCGCTGTCCTTGTGTTCCGAAACACAGGCTTGAAAAGCTTAGACAGAAGACCATCCACTCAGGGTAGAGATGTGTTCTCCAGACCCTCGGCAAAGGAAGACTCTGCTTTACTGAGTAGTTACTGAGAGCAGTGCGCTTGCTAAGGGAGAGGCAGGGTGCCTTTCCTCTAAGGTTTCGGGTTTAGCCAGGGAGACAATGGGTGGGTGATGGTTTCTAGAATGGAGACCTGGTGTGCCACGCACAGGGTGGCAGGACCTTCGCAGACTAGGCCACAGTTTCAATGCTTGAGGAGATGGAGCACATAGTGGGTCCTCAGGTGTCTCTTGTGGAGTGGGAGACCAGTGAGTGACCCTTCAGTGGAATAAGCAGGCTGGGGTCATATGGTAGGAGACCCGTCGAACCTGGGGCTCCCTGGGCCACACCAAGAAGACTGCTAGCCACAGGACTGCACGGCCCAGAGGACACTAGCCCCCAGGCTATTTGAGCAAAGGCAAGCTGCCTGAGCCGGAGGAGGTGGCGAGGTGTTGAGGCATTTCTATGGGGCTGGGCACACAGAACTGGCGGCCGGCATTCTTCATGCTGTGTCACCTAGAGTCTTCCATGCTTTCCAAGTGTGCCCTGCCCCTGCCCCTGCCCCTGCCCCAGTCCAAAAGCCCCTCAAAAGGGGGCCATCCCTCCCTCCTCCTCCATCCCTAAGGTGCCTCGGGCAGACAGGCACACGGTGTCTCTTCTTTAAGCATGCGCACTGCATTCCCCAAGGCTGGCTCCAACTGCCAGTCACTTACTACCCTGTGGGGAAAAGCTTTGAGGACACCACACTGCAGCTCGGGGAAATAGGCACACAGAGCATGACCTGGTGTCTGTTCAGTCCTCAGCAGTCAGAACTGGGAAGGGCTCTGCTATTTTTGGAGAACCCCATATTGTGTTCTAGAAAAAATAAGACTGTTTGCAGACGCCTCCGTTTTCACTCTGGCTCCTGCAGACTGAGGAGTGGCTTATGATGATGTACCAGACAGCATTGTCGCAGGGCAGGGCTCTTAAGCTATGAGTGAATGGCTTCCTGAGTGTCCCCACTTCCGTCTTTGCTGCTCCTTCTGAAATTCTGCCGCAGCAGCCTAGGTTCAGAGACATTAAGCAGCTTGGCCAGCATCACAGCATCCCTGTTCAATCACATTAATCAGCTTGAAAGTGATTGAACAGGGATTTGAACTGACATAAGCTGGCTGTAGAACCACAGCCCTATAGCCCCCGCCCTGCCCCCCCCCCGTATGGAAAGCCCTTTCGATGGGGGACTAATAAAGTCCCAGAGGGGTACAGAGAGAGGGAGAGGCTATTAGGAACTCCTGCAGGGAACAGAAACATCACCAGGCCTCCTGCCTCAGGCAGGAAAAAGTAGATTGGGGAAAAAAAAAAAGAAGAAGAAAAGAAACATGAGAAAGAAAATGAAGGCTGGGGTTGGGGCAGCTCCTCGCCTGGGCCTCCCTGCCAAGATCTCTTCCTGCTTTGTAAGTGAGGGTGGAACAGCCACCAGATGCAGCCATGGCTGTCCCAGACTGCTGTGTCCCCAGGATGCAGCTCCTCGGGGACCCTCATCAGACTCCCTACCAGTTCCGTTCTTGGTCTCGAGGCACCCGGCTCCCCAAGTCCCGCCGTCTCCCTGCCTCCCTCGACAGCTGAGCATTCTCGATTCTGAGCTCAGAATGAGCCATTTCGGCTCGGGGGCCAGATGCATTTTTATATCTGCCTGGAAAAAAAAAATGGAAGGGGCTCTGCCGGGAGTCAAGAGAGGCTTCTAAATTAAACTTTAAAAAAATAAAGTGTGGGGGCTGTGGGGGGGCTGCACCTGGCCCTTCTCAAGCGGTGCAGAGAAGAACAAAGCGTGGAAACCTTCCCTCCACTGGCCGGGTTTAACGCTTCCCCTCCCACCGACCCTCTCATCCCCAAGCCCTCCCATCCTTTCAGATTCTATTTGTCTTGTATAGACTCTGGGCACTGCCTGCATTGCTTGCTCTAAGTCCTGAAGCCTTCCCAAGGCGGGACCTGACCCAGCTAGGTCAGTGGTGAGCCCAAGGTCATGGCCTTATTTCCCTCACTCGTCCTGCAGCTTACACCACAGAAGTACACAAAGCTGGAGTTACAGGGCCCCAAACCAGGACAGCTTGGGATAATGTGTGACCAGAGCCTCCCTCCCAGATACTGTCCACAAGCTTGGTGATGCTTAGCGTTGTATGGCTCCCAGACCCACTACCTCGGGCGGCGTCTCCTCTGCACAATGCTGCCGCCACGGCTGACAACAGTTCTTTTGCCCTAGGCCCACCTCACTCCAGTGTTACCTGGTTACTACTGCAACCATGGTTTTCAAGCACAGTCACCTCCCAAGGTGCCAATAGGAGTCACATCATGAGCAAAGGGCAGTGGCTGGTTCCGGCCCTCACTGTACTGGTGAGTGAGCGCTTCTAACTGTCAACACAATGAGAAAGGCAGGCTCCCCTCCTGGTTCAGTATCGCCCTCCTCCAGCTGTCAGCCTGGGTGTTCTGCAGTCGTCAGGAGCCCCCAGAGCATCCTCTATGCCTTAGGGCTCTGTGGAGAGAAGGAGGCTTAAAGGAATTTGTCTGAGAGCACAGGAGATGTATGTGGACACGCTGTGTACCCCACACAAGAATTATAAAGTGGACGTGCTGTGTGCCCCACACAGGAGATTATGTGGACACACTGTGTGCCCCACACAGGAGATGTATGTGGACACACTGTGTGCCCCACACAGGAATTATAAAGTGGACGTGCTGTGTGCCCCACACCAAGTCACCTTGGATTCTCTTCAGGGTCCCAAATCTGGCTGCATTGACCCTTCCACTTCAAAATACTGAGCTCAGAAAATTCACTTAACCTGCCTAAGACCTTGAAAAAAAGGAAGCACAGGGTCTGCCTTGCCCCAGATATGTTGATTCTAGAATTGAGAGACTTCTTAGCCACTGAAGTCCCGTGTTTTTGTCATGGGGTATTATCAGAAGAGTTGGAGGAGGCTGTCCCTGCACAAGGCCACTGAGCCTCAGTCAGCCATGTTTACAGAAGGCTTTGATCAGTGCTGTCTAGTGATCAGATGAATGCCCACAGGGCTGGTGCATCCATAAAAGCAGAAAGTAGGTTTGTGGTGTGTGTGAGGTGGGAGAACTGGGGGACTTGAGGGGTGACAACCAAATGTGTCTTTCTCTTGAGGTGGTAATGGAATGTTCTAGAATCCATATGCTGATGGTTGTATGTGAATACACTGTATAATTATATCTCAATTTAGTGTTGAAAAGGCTGGTGGGGGCCAGGGGAGGGGGAGCATGGCAGAGCAAGGAGGAAGAGTGTGCTCAAGGCCTGGGGTGCTGAGCTGGGCACAGAAGCCCATAGTGGAAAGGACAGGAGACCAGGAAAGAGACAGTGGAACAGACAGGACAGACAGAGGACAGTCACCAAGTACCCATGAGGGAGTGAGTGTGCGTGCATCCTCTGGTAGCTAGGTAGCTGGGCTTCCCACCTGACAGCTGGGTGAGAGGCTCACCTGTCAGCCGGTCGACCTCCACAGATAACAGATAAGATACCACCCAGGAAACAGGTAACCCGCCCGGCCCAGGCAGTGAGGGTATTGACTGCTCCGTTGCTTGCTGCTCCTTCACTTGAAACATAGCTAGCTAAGTTGGTGCCAGCAGCACCCCGAAGCATCGCCAGACACCCAAAGTCATGAGGGTGGAGGGAGGCCATGTGGAACACCGCAGCTCCTTCTTCACAGCTCACCCGTTGCTCTTTCTCGTCCCCTCCTCCAGAAAGCCTTCAGCGCTCTGTGTCACAGCACGCACTTGTATGGCCGCAGGCTGGTTCTGGAGTGGGCAGACTCGGAGGTGACTGTGCAGGCCCTACGGAGGAAGACGGCCAGGCACTTCCAAGGTAGGAGTAGCTGACTCGGGGCGTCTGGGGTTGTGAGCTGGGACAGGGACCACCTGGATCGCTGCGGTCACTTGGACGAAGCCCCGAGGCCTCCTGCCATTTTAAGCCAGTTTGTATCAGGACAGCCACATGCACGGCGGCTTACCTTGCCCACTGCAGGTAGGTAACGCAGTGGCAGTGGCGCCAGGCAAACAGGAAGGACGGGGCAGTTGTCTTTTCTGTTCATATTATAGTCTCCGGTTGATTCAGATTCCAAAAACTGATGCCTCCGTGCTGGGGATGGGTCCTGGAGGCTGGCCCTAGGAACCATGGGGTAACCACGTTCCAATGTGCCATTCTTGAGGGCTGTCCACTTCCTGCCCAAGCTGTGCGCTCACAGCTGACTCACCAAGGTGACACTATGGCCTTAAAGATGGTTACCCTCTTCCTGAGCCCAGCTGTCCTCATGTTTGGGACACCGTAGTGACCGAGAAGGGCTGTGGGTAGGCACAGGTGAAGAAGGGAGCCACTTCCCTTTGTGGGTAGCCCAGGCCGAGGGTCCCCAAAATTGAGAAACAGGAGGCCCATTATGCCTGGTGCTGAGAGATAGAGGGAAGTCAGGGAGAGGTTGAGAGGTCTGTGGGGTTAGAATCACTACGCCTCATCTCTAATGGGTATGCGCCCCTCACGAGGCTGTCAGGACTTGAACTGGAAGCCCACCTTCCTAAATACCTTCATAGTGGTCTCCAGAAAGCAAAGCAAGGCAGCTATCATTGAGCCACCCAGCTAGGAACAGGTCTCCTCCTCCCACTTGCTGGCAAACAGGTTCTGGCTTGGGCTGGGACAGCCCCGTCTGTAGTCATTGGTGCTGTGACCTCAAGAGGCAGGCAATTTCTTCCTCCCTTGCTATCCTTGGCACTGGGGTCCTCAAGTATTCTAGCTCTAGGCTCAGAGAGACAGCTGTCATCCCCGGAAGGTGTTTGCTCTGAGCTCTTTGTCTACAGAGCTGGGATCAGGAGCCAGGGCCAGTGTAGGACCATAGGGTACATTGCCCTGGAGGGTTTTGAGCAGCCCATTGAGACTGGCCCTGACCAGTGTGCTGAGAACCACAGAGATGGCATGGGGCACCAACCACAGTCTTGGAACACAGACCATGGCCCTCCATTGGTCTGCCCAGAGCCATTCACCTGCCCACCATACTTCTTACAGAGATCACTGTCCCCCCCAAGCTAAGGGGGACCCTGTGTCCCGGCATGTGCTGTTTCAGATCAATATAGCACCTTCCCCTCTGCCTCTGCTTGTGCTGAGTGACAGGGGTGCCCTGTTCAAAAGGCTGATGCTGCTTCCACATATCTGGTCTCCTGCCCTGCCCTGTCCTCTGGGCGTCAGTCATTCCGTGTCATCTCCTCTGTGCCTGTCCCCGGACTTTCTTGTTGCTGCTGCTGCTGCTGTTTGGGCTTGCTGGCTGGCTGGCTGGCTGGTTGGTTGGTTGGTTGGTTGGTTGGTTGGTTTAGTTTTTGTTTTTGTTTTTTTAATTGTCTTATGGCTTGTTATTCTGGCCAGGCCCAGCCACCCCACCCCCACTCGTGGCAAATGTAGTGTGCTGTTTGCTTGTATCTGGAGTGATCCATTGCTGTCGGGTGCTCTTGTTTAGCTTCTGCTCCGAGTGATGCCAGGCTTTCCATCCAGGGCTAGGAGTTTTCCAGCCCAAGCAAATGCAAAGCAGGAGATTGTGCACACTCAGTGGCGGGCTCACAGCTCAATAAGATCCCAAGTCCTGACGGGCAGACAGACCCTGTCTACATCGACAGGCATTGACAGCCCCAAATGCACCCGTCGGCAAATGTTTGTGGAAGGCGCTCTCCGGAGGCAGGGCCCACCTCCCCTGTGGTCGCCCCACCACCCAGCCCAGACCTCCAAGACTGTGGGCTCAGCACTTCTGCTCTGTGTGGACAGAGGACCCTTCAATAAATTGAGTTCCGGAGACTGCATCATCTCCTCCCGGGCGCAAGGATACAGCAGATGCCAACCCTTGATGTGTCTGAGCCATCTCTGTGGCCACTCCCCACTATAGGGCCCCACTAGCCAGGTATAATAATGGAACTGAGGAAGCTAACCCTGTGTATGCCTCTCCAGCAGCCCCAAGATGGCCGTGGGTACTGAGGCTACCTTGCATGGCTGTAACACCTCCAGGCATGCCCCTGCAGGCACCGTGACAGGTGCAAGGCTGCCAGTTATGCAGATGCCCCGGGAACAGCATGCATCCTACCCTCTACCTTGTCCTGCACATGTGCACAGCAGCTGAAGTCCTCAGGACAGGGCCGTGGGCCTGCAGCCTGCCTGGCCTTCCTTTTTCCTCTGCCCTTTCCCCTGCTGAGAAAAGTGCTAGCTCATTTGTGTTGGAGTCTGCATTGTTCTGAGCCTCTGGGGCCCTGGCAGAGCCCAAGGGCAAGTGGGACTTGTGCCCAGCTCCTTGTGGGCCCTGAACATTGCCAGGAAAGTACTCGGACCTCAGGTGGATGCCTGGAAGCTCTAGCCCCACGAGGCTGCCTTCGGGCTGCAGGCCATGCCTCTCCCACAGCCCACTACTGGCAGGAGAGGGTTGCTGGAGACACGCGGTGCCTGGTCCAGGGAGACAGCTGAACTGTAGCTCATGCTGGCTGACACAGCGTCCCTTGCCACCACAGAGCCTCTCCTCTTGTCAGGCCTTGCCAGGACTCAGGGAGATAGAAACTGTCACTGACCCATTTAGCAGATCAGAAAGGGCTCAGAGAGGGCAAGAAACTTATTAAAGGGTGCCCAGCCACCCATAACACAGCTGGAATGCAAACCTTAGCTTTTGATCATTCTCTTGACTGAGGCTTTGCATGGGTTGATCCAGTCGGCAGCCGCATGTTTGATTCCGCTCTGTGGCCCATATGTATATGCGTGTGTGTCCTGTTATCCGCTCCGTGGCCCTGGTGAGTCTCGGCCTCAGCTTTGCCATCTTAACAGTGAACATGGGGCGTCACCACCCTGGGGTCCTGTGGCTCCAGGGAGGTGACACCTGACTTCTTCTGGCCACTCTCCCAGGCTCAGAGTAGTGGACTGGGGAGGATGTAATTGGACAGAGAAAAGTGGGAGCCTGGTGCTCCTGCATCTCCAGCCAGGGTACAGGGCCTGGCACCTAGGAGGAGGGCCCCAGGCTCAGTGCACTGCAGCCTGTCACTTCCTGGTGCCTGAAGGGGCTTTGCTTTAAGCCCCACCCCCTTGTCTGTCCCACAGGGCGTCCCTCATGCTGCCTGCAGTCCCTGGGCAATGGCAGGACACCACAGTGTCCCTCCCTAGCAGGTGTTTGGGACCCACCTGGCAAGCCCACACTCCAGGCCAGGCCACAGGAGAACATCACCCTGAGTCAGTAGATACCATACTGCCAGACAGGTGCCTTAGGGAGGGGGAAGGCTGCAGTCATCCCTAGTCCGTCCTCCCTCTTCTGACCTCTCTCAACACCCCCAGCCTCCCTGGACTATCCCCCATCTGGTCCTCTCCCATTCCCATCCCTGCAGCTCCACCCCCTCCTTGCTCTCTGCCTGCCTCTCTCCCCCCCCATCAGGAATCAGATATTTGGTGTCCAGCCCCTAGCCCTGTAGTAGGTGAAGTGGTTTTCTTCTCCGCCTAGCGTGTGGGGTGTGAAAAGAGTGCTCAGGAGGGGAAGAAAGAAGAAAGTCTGCCTCTAGCTGTGTCCCTTTCTTCCTGAATGCGTTACAAACCAGCAGGGTCGCAGCATTGCGAGGCTTTCAGGGCCTGGCAGGCCACGCACGGTACCACGAGCACAGGCGACAGAATAAAGTGGCCGGGAAGCGATCCACCGCCCAACCCGTCTTAAGCACTCACAGCCAGGGAGGCCCGGCACACGGCTTTCATTCAGCCAGGAGCGTGGCTCGGCTTCCCTCTGTTGTCTTATTCCAGCTGCGGAGGCCCGATGGGCTGTGGTTAGCGGCTGCAACTTTCACCTCCAGAGTAGGGGCTCAGGCATGAGCAGCATAGCAAGTGGCCAGCCGCAGCCCGCCGGCCCTCCACCCGCCTTACTCCAGTGACGCTGGCCAGAGCAACATAGACACAGAGAACACACACAGCACAGACAGGAGGAGTTCTGGTCAGTCAGCTACTGGCCTGACACTCTGAGCCACCCTTCTAGCCTCACAGGGTAGGGATGGAGCCCCAGCCAGACCCTTGTTCCATCAGCCCACCACCTTACCTCCAGGTCTCAGTGCAGTCATGCAGTATTCCTCTCCATATTATACACACACACACACACACAGAGACATGCATACACACATGCGCATGTACACATACATAAATACATACACACATATACACACATACATACACATACATGCATACTCATACATACATACATACACCCTTTTCCCTACTAGACTAATCTTCCAGGGACACAGCACACACACCCCCAACTTACCTTGCATCAAGAATAAAGCTGGCTTTATAACTGTCTACAGAACAGATGAATGAGCCCTGTTAGAATCAGTCATGGTCGTGGCTGATGTCAGCTGAACATCTAGCGTGTTCTGGGCCCTGGGTGGTGCCGATTGTAGCCACGTTCACATTAGGAATGGGCATCAAGGCTCAGCACAGCCGGGCCATTACCCCAGCCCAGAGTTATTTAGACTCAAAACATGCAGGCAGGCCCTGTGTGGGACCTGATATTCTCACCTTGTTCCTCAGAGCCCTGTCCCTCTGCAGACGCAGCCTTGTAAAGTCTCCCTAAAGATGAGTTCAGCCTCAGGGAAGCCAGAGACAGCTCTGTCAAGGGCCTTTGTGCAGCAGCGGCACTTAGCACTTTTGCATACAATTTAAAAACCTGGTGGAACTTTCGCCTGGCACACTCGGAGAGAGACAGGTCCCATGTTACAGGACCAGACAGGCCCAGAGATGCTGTTGACTTTCCTAGGAGCACACAGCACAACTCTTGTAGAACAGATATTCCATTTCCTCCTGCCCTACAATGCCTACAGTTCCTG